TAAAACAAAAGCTCACGATTAGCTCACTTAATGCTAACCTTGCAGGGAGGATTTTAATATTAGGCTTGGGGAGAGAGCCTTGTCACGTTTTGTTTGCATTGAAGACAGGAGTCCTTGAGAAGAGCAGTGAGATAAAGAGGCGGTGGGAGCTGTGCTGGCTGGTGAGTCATCCTGTTGGTTCAGGCTAGGGGAGAAGCAGGGAATGTTTTCTTGCAAAGAGTTTGGAGAAACCTGCATTTCCTTTGTGCCCTTTGTCTGTTAGACAGGAGTAATAACAAATCCCTTCTACCAAATGTAATGTTTACACTGAGAAACAGCCTCAAGCAGCTTATTGTAAGTAACTGTGCAGAGGTTTTGGCAATGGGACCTGGTGGTCAGCCTGGTACCAACACCTGGGGGAGAGATGGGGGTGCTTATCTCATTAATGGATCACAGCAGGGCTGTGTTCACAGCTCTGGGACTCATTACAGCAATTCCTACAAAAGTGATGCCAGCTGCCAGTGGGGCTGTGCTCATCCCTTAGGTAGATCTGTGTATTGTGAGCAGTGACAATAGCTGCAGGTGAAGCACTGCGGTGCCATGTGCTTGTTCCTTATCAAAAATTAACTTTGACATACAGCATGATAAAAGCCAAGTGAGTTCTCCCTTTCTGGAATGCAGGTTAATTACAGGTACCAGTTTCCACCTCCTGAGATAAAAGGCTTTTATGTGGGCTGCTTCTACCATCCTTCCTAAAATCAAAGTGCAGGGTGGAAAAACAAGTCCATTTTTCTTATTCATGGCTGCTCACTCTTGTGCCTTTTTATCTTTGAGCTCTCTGGTAATAAAGCCAGGCTGGAGGCACAGCATGGGGGTGTGCCCCAAAGCCTTATACCTGTACAAAAAGTTTTGATGTGTATTGCAATTCCATTCTGTGAGACACTCTAGAACCAGAGCAGGCTCTTGCTCTCTTCCCCTCTCCTCCTCATCCCATGTCTTGCAGGTTTTTCTGCTTGCTGCTTCTGGCCTTGCACAAATACTGGGTGCTTCTGGGACATTGTTTGTGTGCCTTCCCAATCCCAAGTGGTTCAGGCAGTGCTGGCTGTGGGACTGAACAAGGTAAAGTCAGCTGAGCAGGGAGCTGTGAATGGCTGCTTGCTTTTGTGCTTCTGCATTAAAGAAACAGCTCCAATCATGTTTCTTGTTACTAAGAGAAATTGCAGTGAGCAATTAAAAAAAATAAATAGGCTGAGCTTTGTGTATCTCCTGACATGTTGTCTTCCCTTGTTCTGTGCTTGCTGCAGTCAGCTCTACACATCAAGTTGCTGCTTGCAGGGAAAGAAATAGGGTCCCTCTTTGAGCTCAGAAACCTTTGGCAGGGAGATGGTACATGTGCTGGATTCGCAGCAGCTGCAGCAGTGTTCTTTGTGCATGGGCTTTGCAAGTGCTGGGCTCTGCCCTCTGGGAAGTCATGGAGGCAGTAATAGAAGGAACATACCTCTAAAGGTAATGCTGGCTAGGAGGACTGGGCTTGGAGGAATGCAAGGGGACAGAGGAAAGCAAGCAAGCTGTGCTGGTTAAGGTAGAGCAGGCAGCCTGCATTTGAGGTTCAGCAGAGAGAATTGTGTGATCAGAGAATTTTTTAAGTTGGAAGGGACCCTTAAAGGTCATCTAGTCCAACTTCCCTGCAATGAACAGGGGACAACAGAGCCCTCTGGGCAGCCTGGTCTAGTGGTTGGTGACCCTGCACATTACAGGGGGGTTGAAACTAGATGATCCTTTTCAACCCAGGCCTTTCTATGACTCTATGAACTGCAGCCATATCAGGTTGCTCAGAGCCCCATCCATCCTGACCTTGGACGTCTGCAGGGACAGGATCTTTCACCATCTCTTTGGATAACTTGTTCCAGCCCCTCACTACCCTTTCTGTAAAAAACAAAAACAAAAAAACAACAAACAAAACCCCAAAAAACTTATATCCTGTCTAAATCTCCCCTGGAGGCAGAATGGGCTCTGGCACTGTAGTGGGAACACTAAGTCACAGCTGGAATCAGTGATAGAACACCTGATGGGAAGGCAGGGCCAACCCAGTGGAGCTCAGGTGCAAGCAATCACCTGAGTAAACAGAAAATCCTGGCTCCACCCCTTCTCAGATCTCAGTTAGGGGTTGGCAGTGGTGGTGAGGGTATCTCGTCTGGAGATCCCTGCCTGCTGGAGTACCTTGCAAAGGTAAGATTTCTTCATTTGTTTCTGTTGCTGTTGCATTTGGGCTCGTCCTCATTTACTGCAACCGCAGAGTGCCACCCCCACTGTTATCACTGTACTTTCCATCATGTTATAGTGTTACAGGCACAGAGCAACTGCAGAGGCTTGGCTGTAAGCAGAAGGATGGTGCTTCTGGTGCAGGAATGCTCTGAAGTGTGCTGGCAGGAGATGTAGGAGGGATGTATCCCAGATGAACAGATCAGAGAATGCTCTTGAGTGTGAGGATGCTGGGGTGTGATCTGGTGAAAGTGTGAGAGCTTGACTCATATCTCCTGTGTTGTCTTTGCTAGAACGGCAGGTGGAAGATTTGCTGAAGCTGCGGCCATACAATGCAGGCACAAATGTAGCAGCTGTGCAGTGAGAAATCCCAGAGGCAGCAGCAGGGCATTGTTCAGGATGAGGTGCAGTGAAGTAGTTCCTGTGGGCCCTAATGAAGTATGGTTATTATTATGGTGGACCAGAAAATGTCCTTGAAATCTGCTGTTTTCAAGAGTGACCTTTCTCCTTCAGACAGCTCTTTCTCATGGGCCATCACTTGGTTGCCACACAGCAGCAGTTTGTTAGCAACAGCCCAGGGATGCCAAGGCTCAGCAAGGAGAGAGAGAGAGAAGAGGATCTGCCTGATTTCCCCTTTATTGTTAGTTTTTTAAATTTAGCAGAACGAAACAGTACTCCCAGGCAGCATCTCCCTGCTCCTTGGCTTACCCTTTTCAGGGACAGGAACCACACCAGAGCTTCACTCCCAAGGCTTTCATGGGTACTTTCCCTAGCATGAACTCTTTGCCACAAGCATGCAGCCAATCCCAGCCAGTCATGAGCTTCATTGCTGTTTCTCACACAGCTGTGGTGTTTGATAGGAGGGCAATGCCTCAACAGCAGGGAAATGGGGAAATAAGGTTTGGAAAAGATCATCATCCTTAGAGCCACATGGTTGTTTCAGGTGCTGTCTGGAGCCTGGCATGCTCAATTCAGCACACATTAGGAGAAGTAAAAGCAAGAAAAAGACCAAATGTTGTTTTTTTTTATTTAAAAAAACAAACAAACAAAAAAAAAAAAAACACCAAAACAACAACAAACCAACCTAGACATGTAATGATTTTAAAATGACTCTACGAAATAACAAACTGTACTACAGGCTTATATTAACGTTCTCCTTTTGAAAGCACAAACTACTGACATAACAGGTATGCCTCAAAACGCCTTCTCAGTTTCTAAGAATATACAACGAAAAAATGAACAAGGAAAACCAAAGCAATCCCAAACAGCAAAAGTACAAAGTAGGTTCAGGCAGATGGTTTTTGGCAATTGGCTGTTGGTTACAGTAAGACAGCCAGCACGTGGCACGGGGGCTGACTTTGGTGCTGCTGTGACTGTAGTACCTCCTATCTCCAGGCCTTGCTGGGGACCTTCTGCAGACTTGGGAAGGGATTGGATGGCAGTTAAGAGCAGTCTTCTCTCTGAGGCAACACATCAAGGCAGTAAAATATCACACACTGCTGGAATGGTTTTGTTTCAAGGCAACAAATCCCACTTGCAGTAAGGCACATGTTTAGATGCGGAGAAGGAAGTTGCAAAGTTAGACAGAAGTGCCTGTTCTCTTGGTGCTCTTGTGCAGTCTGAATGCATCAATGCAGGACTACCCTGACCTATCACAAGTCAGTCGTGCTTCTCCTTCCAAGGTGCCAGAATCACCTGGCATTGATCTAAGCTAGTCTGTTCTGATTACCTGCATGGAAGAGTGGCTTCTTCTACTTTGAGGACCAAGGACAGCTGGTGTTCCGGGACTTAGTTTTAGGGAATTCAAAAAGGAAAGCAAGAAAAACAGGGTGATGCATGTTTTGGAGCAGCCAGCATATATAGAATTTCTAAAGGAGCCTGTAACTCTGAATGGTTTTTTAAGGGTCCAAGTTAAAAGTTACAAGTTGGGATTGTGTACCCTACTGATGGAGTGGCCTCATTAAGACAGGAGGTAATTTCTGGCAACAGTGTAGTGCAGGAGAACAGTAGCTCTGGAACAAGTTTTGGGGGAAGAAAGCCCAGTATTTGAATAGCAGACAAATCTGCAGTGGATGCAATTAATTAGCAAGAATGTCTTAGAAACTGTACTCTCTTTTTTTCCTTCATTAAACTCAGTTTGCTCTATACAGATGTTTAATTATTTAGTATCTCAAATTCAGTTATTTTCTTCCCATATGAATGACAATCCTTACTCTAATGCTTTTGGAGGGATTGATATTTTAAGATGCTGCACATCTGCCACCTCAAAGATGAGCCCAAGTAATTTTCTCAGGATAACTGAGTCCACAATGAGCACAATGGCTACATGTAATTGCCAATGCAAGGATATATAAGGTAAAAATGTAAGTTCATGTTGCTAAGACTCCGAGTTTTGAAAACTTATCTTGTATGATTATTAGAAACAGCAAAGTTTAAATGCCATGAGATAACAAAAATATACAATTCCTTCCTTTTTAGAAGGTTCTGCTTCTTACATGGCCTTGTATGGCCTTGAAATGCTTTTCTCCCATATACCATATGCTTTGACTGCTGCTTGCTGCAGCTGTACACGTATACTACTCAGAATGATTGTATCCTCTATATATAACAAAATAACAGCAAGAAGAGTTAATGAAATTAACCTAGTAATTTCTAACAAGGGAAAGGGGTTCTATGAGAACCATTATGATTCATGGATTGCTACAAGCAGGTTTCACAACCGAGTCCATGTGCCAAAATTAAGATGGAATGAATCTAGATGAGTGCAGCAGTTAAATATACTGAAGAAATAGCAGTATATACAAAAGATATGCACTGCTTACCCGACGCATACTTTTTAAGGTGCTTAATGATGTTTTGAAGAGTGTAGCAACATATACATATATGAAGGGTATACATAGCTAACTGTATGGTAGGAGCATAATACAGAGCCAGATATTTTCCCAGATCCCTGATTTCATTAGATTCTCTAACTCATAAGAACGTATTTAAAGCATTTCATATAACATATCTACACAACGTAAATGGGGATGTCCACATAAAAACACTCCAGTTTCTTTGATAGCTTGCCGTTCGCGGGGTTGGGTTCAGCTTTGTTTCATAAAGATGCCATCTGGACGAGCGAGAGTTTGAACAGCTGTGCGTGGTAGGACAGCTCTGTCACTCGGTTCACCATCTCCTGCAGTGCTGCTGTGTGTGGGTAATGCAAGGCCGCCATCTTGGTAGCCGTCACGATGCTCTTCAGCAGTTCGCACAGCTGGTCGCTGGAGTTGCGCACCTTGTTGCGTATGTCCTGGGATGTCAGCTGCCTCGTGAGCGTGTCCCCGATGAACACCAGTTTGTGGGCGCTCAAAATGACAAGTTTGCTGTGAGCAACGAAGATCCGGGGGGGCTGCGAAGCGCTGACGCAACTGAAAAAGGCATCGATGGTGTTGAGGAGGGAATTGAAATGAGTCTCGTATTGGTCAGAATAGAACAAAAGCGGTTGTCTGTCGTGGGAGGCAATAGTGCTGTTGGCAGTCTGCAGGGCCTGCGGTGGCTTCCATTTGGAAATGTCGTTCTCCACAGGCTTTGTGATCTCCTGTTCCAGCCGCTGGAACTGATTGATCTGAAAGGTGAATAAGAAGTGTCTCTTTAAAGCCTGTTCCTGTAAGATGTTACGTATTGCAATTACATCTGCCTCAGAACAGCAGTGGGTGCCCTAGGGTATCTTACGCTCAAAGAAAACTATCGTATGTCTATTAAAACATACTGAAGAGCGAGGGGTGCTTTCATTAACAGAAGTCCAGGCAGAGGTCAGAAGATAAAGACATCTACACCACTTCATCTGTGTTCAGAAGCCTACTGAATTTACAGGCTGCTGCTCATGTGGAGTATGCTGCAATCAGAAGTGAGAGCTGGATCTGAGCGGCACTGACACCTACGCAACGTTTAAAAGCCAGCCATCTCTGTGGGATTTTGAGATGACAAACCTTCAACTCTCAGCTCCTAATTACTTTTAATGGAAACAAAAACAAATGGGAAATTAAAGACAGAATGCTTAAAGTGATGATGAAGCTGAAGTTTAATATGCTCAGAAGGTGGGAAAAGTAGAACATGTAGTCACTGTCCTCTCCATCAAAAGTGGGGGGAATGGCCGTGTTCTCAGCTCTTTTGTTTCTTCCATGTAGAATTTTCTGCCGTGTGTGTGGCACTGCACATTTTTGTTCTTTGCATTTCTAACTCCCTTACTTTTGGAGACTGATGGGCACAAATCTCGCTTGGAAAAAAACTAACCCAGGGCTACTTGTTAGCCAAGACCCGATACCTTCCATCTTCACAATATGGCACCTGGGACTTCCCAACTGTTTGTTCTGGCACTCATACATACCTCACAGCCACGCTGTTAACAGTCACATGCTGCTAAGGAAAGGGCCCCTCCTGCTTTATTTGACCAGTACTCCTTACGTGCAAGGAACATTACATTTCCATGTGATTATTGCACCTGAGCAAACATACCTGATGGTGTTCTAGCTCCATTTTGCTCTGCTTGATGATATTTTCTTTTTCTAGTAGTTCCTTCTGTTGCCTTTCAAATTCTTCTTTCCCCTGTTTTGCATAATGTAAAAAGACAGTGTTAAATAAAAACAATTCCTTAGCTAAAAGACAACCTGTAGGCCAAACAGCAGGCTTCTCTGCGAGGGCTTTTTCACTGGGAGTACACCCCTGAGAACTCAGAGGAATAAGAAGGAGAGTGGGGCAAGGGCAAAAGGCTATTGCTATTGTCTATGCAACAGATCTATTTGAGAGCAAGTAATCACCCAGGTGATCTTACTCTTGAGTGTGTCTTAGTGTGACAATTTGATTGCAGTTTTCCTGCAAACAGCTCTTACTTGGTCTTGCACAGAATAAGTTGTTGGCTTTGCCTACCTGCAAGTGAACATAATCGTAGTCATCCATCCAGCTCTTTTCTGAGCTCTCGTTAGCGATATTGTGAGGTTGTTGACCTTTACTCAGGAGAGGAGGAAGAGAACTGAAGTGACTCTGTGTTTTTTCTCCACGACGCTGCACGTGAGGACTGTTGTACGCATACTCAGGAGCATTCATATTCTCTGGGACGCTCCTGAAACGTGAGCTGCCTGACCCCTGTTTGAACAGGAGCTCTGCATTGACGCTGATGGTGGTGGTCAGTTGCTTGGCGTCGTCTGGCACTGTCTTTGCCACCATAACAAACCGATCCAGGTCATCACACTTGTTCTGCAGTCTGTTGACAGCGAGAACGTTCAAGGACCAGTTGTAGCTGTTCAGGTCATGGCTGGTTTGGGTAAGGATCTGGTGAGAGTCCTCCAGCCTTTGCACCTCCCTTCTCATTTTGTTATGGAGGCTGATCTCGGAGAGAAAGGAAGCGTTGGCTGCTGATCCTTTTGCAAACTGAAGGTATTCCAGCAGTGACTGCTCTACCTTATCCACGGCAGCGTGAATTTCATTGATGTGTTTCTCCATGTAGCCGTAAGACCGCCAGTCTGCTGTAGTGAAGGCCATGAGGTTATTGACTGCTGTCTCCACCATCTGCTGAAGATGATAAAGCCTCTCTATAGCAGTGTCTGGATCAAGGATTAGTCTTTTGTCCTGTGCAGTTGTTGCTGAGAAAGAAGAATCCTTTGATGTTGTTGAAGATGTGGACATGTTACTCCTTGTGCTTCCCGTGCTAGAGAAAGACAACCTATTCATCCCATCAGTCACATCTTGTAAGCCTTTAGTGTCTTGGAGCATTGGTGGTGGCACATCATATACACCTTCTCTTCCCTCTGAGGCTAGACTTTCATTGAGTCCTGTCTGTTGTCCTGGGAAAGCAATTCCCCTGGGGGTATCATAAACATCTTTCTGAGGTGCAATTTGCTGTCCAAGAAAATGGTTTTGATGGTTTACGGGGATGTCATAAACACTCTGTTTGTGTGGCGCTCCATCAGTCAATACAAGGCCCTCAGAAGTGTATTTCTTGATCAGTTCTTTCCCAGTTGTTTTGGTGATAGGAGGAGGAATATCATACACTCCTTCTTGTCTTGCACTGTTCCCCACTGGAGATGAAAACTCCTGCAAATTATCCCTCAGGCCTACGTCATCTCGGCATGCAGACGGGGGTGCAGCATACATCTGAAACACAAGAAGCAAACCATGAAAACTCTGGCTAGAATAGCAAAACAATTTTACATTTTCCATGTGCCAAATAAAATGCCTGGATGGAAGATCTGCCCTTGAATTCCATGGAGTCAGACACTTATCTCAAGTTTGAAGGAGCACCAGCTTTAATACTTCACATTTTAGGGTTGGTTTTTTTTTGATGCACGTTCTCACAAGCAGCAAAATCCAAGAAGGCAGGATGCTGCCACAAAGATAATCTAGGTCTAATGACCAAATCACATTACATAACACTAGAAGTTTTGATACAGTGCTTCGCTATATCAGTTTTAACGAGCACCTTAAAAGCTTAAGGAAATCTTTAAAGTTCTGAATCTCATTTTCCTTGGGGATCATACATAAACTTTGGTCACTCAAGAAAATACAGGATCTTGTGGAAACTTATGACACTTACTCCTTTGGCAGGTGGCACATCGTAGACTCCTAAAGCTTTTGCATCTCCGGTGGGAACTGGATGTGCAGTCCCCTTCGCTGATGTGTGGGGGATGTCATATATCTGAAGAAAAATAAATTGTACAGTTAGGAAATACACTCTGCAACTGAGTGAATGGCAGGCTGGAGAGATGAAGTCACAACTGACTTCCATCCCAAAGGTTAAATCAAGGTCAGTTTATTACAGATGTCTGTTGGGGTAAAAAGGGGATCAGTATGTTTGTGTGACTAGAACTGATGAGACTGATAGAGATCAGAGGGATGGAGGAATAAGCTTGTAGTAATACATGCTATTAAACTCTGAGTAGGGCTGCTCATGCTAGGACCACTTATCTGCTTCATCAGGTGTGGGTGCTCCTAATAGCAGGGAGTACAGCTGCTAGCTGTTTCAAGTATCCCACTTGGTGGCATGTTCTGCATTACAGTGGGTTCTCGGTGTGGTCCAAGGCTAACCAACACCTGAATGTCTTTCACTCAAGATTTCTCAGAAGTTCCAGCCACTCAGTGCCTGTCTGTTATGTACTACTGGGCATCAGCGATGTTCCCTAGAGGAGCCGCGCTGTCAAAAGAGCCACAGAGAGATGTGGAGCTGTTGAGTTACAGATCCTCCACGCATTTACTTGGGATGTCCATGGTCTTGGGGGCCATGTACGAAAGGTGTTCCCCAGAATGAAGATGTATTTCAAGTTCAGTGACATGGTGCAGCAGACATATGATGAAAACAATTCCCTGCATGGTAGCTGTTCATCCAGGAGATAATTTTACCCTTACTGAGTGAATTACTGTCAACTATGCAACAACAAAGTAAGGGGAAAAAATGTTCCCAGGCATTAAGTTTATTCTGTTTAGATATTCTGTTTGATCAGAACACTGAAAACAAATGGGATTTTTGTGTTTGGTGTGCTGCCAGACCTTACTCAACATCAAATACGACTCTGAAACACTTTCTGCAATCTGTGAAAAAGCTAGTGAACCTAATTAAAACTTGTTTTCTCTCAGAGATAGCTCTGCTCATAAACTTCTGGTAGAAAATAATCATCTTTTGTGCCCTTTCAGTGTGCTTTATTGGTACTTACCCCTTGGAGAGAGCGAACAGGAGGGATATCGTACGTATCCTTCTGGTATTTGGAAGGGAATTCATAAACATAACCTTGCCCTGACCTGACTGGAGTCACTACCTGTGAGATAGAAGAAGAGGAGGAAACATAAGCCTTTGAAGATGTTGGCATGTTCTGTCTGTAACTGCAAAGGGTTCTCAGTGTAAACATTCTAGCACTATTAACATTCACATTGTAGATGTCAGTGTTAGCAACACCAGTCTACATGTATGTCTGATAGCTGAACACTGCAAAAAGCTACACCTGTACTGTTTTTTACTTTCAGGCCAGTTCTGACGTGGCTGCTTGCTTATCTCCTATTTGTCAAGCATAGATTCTCCACCAGATCTAAGGGAACTTTGTCCCTTTGTCTCACTGACTGCCCTTTAGCACAGACCACACAATGTGATGGTCGCAGCACCCACTCACTGGGATCAGCACTTGGTACACCTTGCTAATCCCACTGAGGTGCCCTTCCATGCTGACAGAGGCTCAAAGTAACAAATCAGGCTCTGGAAGCATTCCTCCTTTGCTCATGGAAGTGCTTCCCACCAACTCCAGCAGAATATCTTGCATTACTGTGCCCCACAGGAGAACATCCCGTATGACAGAGTGTGAGCAATGGCTTTGAAAGTTCTCTATGTAGAAAGGCTATGCTTTAGCTTACCAAAGTGAGACATTCATTTATGCTGTCTCCATTTGGTTTGTCTTTATTAGTGGCTGAGAGGAAATGTTAAGTCATTCTTGAAGCATACAATGTAAGAACAGCCTTTGAAAAAAAGCTGAGAATTTACGTTTTTGTCATTCTATAGACCATTAGCTCCCATAATGACTTCAAATAAAATTTGGTCAAAAATAAATGCCTTATGTTTTGGACAGCATCTGCGTGGCAGAATTTCAGTATAATGTGGTATATATATAAAAAAAAGATGTTACCTAACCTCCAGAAAGAGCTGGTTTTATAGTGGAAATGCTGACATCTTAACCTCTGCCAGTGCTATTTAGCTCCAACAAGAAAAAATATAAATGCCATAACCTGGGGGCATAAAATGACAAATTACACAGGGCCATACAAGATGCGGTTTTGTGCTCAGCTGGGGAGAATTCTTTACCAGAGCTACTTAACTATCTTTAGAAACGTATGCAAGATGTGAAACTGAGTTTCTGACCACGCGCTCATAGCAGTTTTTGCTACAAGAGATCTTAGCATCCTGGCAAAATTTCAATGCGAGTATCTTTGCTACCTTAACAACGCAGGCTTTTCCTCTTTTCACTTGCTCTGCAAATATTGCTGTGTAGTTTTTGGCACTGTACCATGAAACAGTCACTGGATTTTTTTCCCCTTAGGGTGACTGTCGTTACCTGTTTGGAATATGGGTCCCATTCAATTGGGAGTAGCCCAAGGCAACGTTCTTCCCTGCAGTGCCAGCGCTGCACTGACTGTGAGGTTGTGGTAGGTGAGGGGGGAAGGACAGCTGTGGCAGGTGAGGAAACACAGCCCTTCACTGGAGCTGCTTCTCCTTGAATTAGCATCAGAGGACAGAGAAGACAGAACTGAAGCAATAGGATGACCTCAGTGCTGAGTAGGAGCGTCCCTGAGAGGAGTCCTGCTGGAGTGAGTGCAGGATTGATGGAGTTTAACAAGAACCTATAAATGCATTGAATTTATTGAGTTTATTTCTTCCTCTCAGACTTACCTACTGCACTGTAAAGAGATCTACAAAACTTTAAAGCAAGTTCTCCCTTGTGGTACTGGAATTTTACCAAAATGGATCAATTGTCCCTCCCTGGCCCTCCTCATGTAATCCTGGGATTATGTTGTTTGCCTGAAAAACTTTTAGCTTATGTCAACACCTCTTCCTCATGATATTTCTGGCCTGTGAGGGCCAGAGATCAGACCAGCACAGCTTGCATCCCTTTTTCCTTCAGTTGGGTGCTGCCAGTCAAACACTTTCCACCCAAGTTAGGAACAGAAGGACTTGGCTTTAAGCAAAGTATACTGCAAAGATCCGAGGGTTTCAAAATTACAGCCGTGGCCTTACTTCAGTAATAAGCCACTGAACTCTTAAAGCAGGAAGCAATGCGCAGCACCTCTGTAGAAGCTTTATGGCACCTCAAGTTGTTCAACATTTGCACAGCAGTATTACCATGCAGCTGCTGTTATTCTTGTTGATAGTCCTTGGAGATGATCCCATTTCTCAGAGAAGGCCGATGTACCAGATGCTGTATGAAAGGCTTCAACGGATACAAGGCTGCTGCTTTCATTTACTGTGCTAAAACAGCCTGAGAGCGGCCTTTCAGTATCTAAAAGGGGGCTGTAAGAAAGAAGGGGACAGACTCTTCAGCAGGGTCTGTGGTGACAGGATGAGGGGAAATGGTTTCAAACATACAAACAAAGGGAAGATCTAGGTTGAATTTAAGGAATAAGCTGTTTGTAGTAAGGGTGGTGAGGCACTGGCACAGGTTGCCCAGAGAGGTGGTGGATGCCCCGTTCCTGGAAGCACTTAAGGTCAGGCTGGACAGACCTGATGGAGCTGTAGGGTCCGTGTTCATTGCAGGGGAGTTGGACTAGATGGCCTTTAAATGTCCCTTAGCTCAAACGATTCTATGATTCTTTGATCATGGAAGCCTAAATAACCACACTAAAGCTAGAGTGGTCAGATGAACACCAATTTCACTTAGATTTTTGACACTTTTGCATTTGCTCAGACTTGACTAAGCTGACACAGTAGTGCCCCAGGGCCACCCCTTTATTTGAGTGAAACAAGCCCATGCTCTGGGTGTTTCTGGGTGACAACAGCAGTGAGAGTTATAAACATGACACACCTCATCTGGGGTATTCGTGAGCACAGCCTGCCTACGTGGGTGACTGTGAACACAAGACCTGAGCTGTCTGTAGAGCTGCGCTTAGCAGTGCACTGTACTTAAGGTGGCATTTATTTTCCAAATAAAATTGCCTGAGGCTTTTATGTCTGCTCATTTTTAGGCTTTTGAAATAGCAAAGACACAAAATACAGTTGTAAAAAAAAAACAGCAACACCCAGCAACAGCCAAGGTCTGTTGATAATATGAAAGACAACTCTGTTCTCCTAGTGACTCAGGTGTATTTTCCTGTGTGAGGATTATGATCCAGTAACAACATGTTCTGAGTGATTTCATCATAAAATTCCCCACAAATGCTGATATGTTCTGCGCTGAGTACAAGAACATTTCCTGTTGTACCCCCGCTCCTCTTCCCTCCCAACACTTTTAACTAGGTTAAACTTGCCTTCTGTTGGACTGCTTGTTCCCAGTCAGATCAGAACAGAAGCTGCTCATCACCAAAACATACCTTGAGCTAATGTTTTGTTACACTAAGTAAAAGAATCATCGAATGACAGAATTGCTCAGGTTGGAAAAGACCTTCAAGATCCTCAAGTCCAACCACAACCTAACCATACTACCCTAACTCTAACAACCCTCCGCTAAATCATGTCCCTGAGCACCACATCCAAACAGATTTTAAACACATTCAGGGATGGTGACTCAACCGCCTCCCTGGGGAGCCTGTTCCAGTGCTCAAAAGAATGCCCATGCTGCCTGATGAAATGAAAACGTGGAACATTCCCTGCAAATCTCATGTTACCTGAAACACCAGTATCTCGTATGGGAAGCTGGGACATGGGGCTGTACTGCTTCTTCTGAAGGAGGAAGAGGGAGGTAGCAGGGTGGATGAACTGAGAAAGCCATCAAACCCAGTATCTGCAGAAGCAACTTTTGATTTGGGGCTGTTCACCCATAAATACGTTAAATGAACTTGCTGCTTCTGAATGGGATGCTCAAGCCTTTCAGGGCATTGCTGAACTAGATAGCATGGTTTTGCATGTTTGATGGCACTTTAGTTTTGAAGATGGACTTCAGAAGGAAGGCTGTGGCTGCAAAAGGAAAGGTGCCCTTTCTCTCACTTGTGAAAAAGTACTAGCAGCCCTGCCTGGCATTTAGGGATTTGTTTCCCAACAAATGTCACTGAACTTCAGACCATAAGACAATTCCTTTTTGTCTTACCTCCTCTATTTTAAGAATGCCTGTGGTTATCTGAGTTTAAATAATCCTGCATTTCAAACCAGCAATTTTCCTTGTTTACGTGTTAAAGGAAACAGATGGTGTTCCCACAAACTATCCAGCCCAACATTCTCAAAACATTGTTAACCACTTAATCCATGCAGAGCAACTAACAGGGACCAGGTTTGGCTCTGGTGAAACATGTAATGGGCCTACTTTAAGCTTTCAGTACTGGAAAACAAAGGCAACTGAACAGAAAGTTTGTTCTGTTCTTGCCGTAGACCACACTCTTCCAAAGCAATTACTTGAGCCTTTTCCATGCCAACTGCATGCTTCTGACCAAGAAAAAGAGCTGAATGTGCAAGTACTTTGCAAAATATTGAGCCCTGTGGTTCACTATTAAAACCCTCTTCCTTAAACATAAGGAAAAAAAATAACATTCTATTTCTTCCGGAATTAAAATTGAAGTTAGGTTACAACAGAGAACATTCCTAACCAAAGCAGTAACAAAACAGTTCTTGTGTTTCCTGCAGGCACACAAAACTGTAGTTTACATTGCTTAAAGATTACATAGGACAAGTAAGCCTACAGAAGCCAGCTGAATTCCTCTGGATTTCAGCAGTACTGTGGAGGCAGAATGCAGCCTCTTCTCAAGAACTGCAGCACTCGATGTACAGAATGATGGGAAATGTGCTTTGCTGAGTTTCACAGGTAAGAAAACCAAAGCACAAGTATGCTGAACAACTTGCCCCAGAATCACCTGATTGCTTTTAAAATAGATGAGTGCTCTTCAGAGGTGAGGAACAGAAGGGATGTGTGGTAAGATGTTATAGTCATGCTTTCAATCTGGTGGTGGATAGTGATAGGACAAGGGGGAATGGTCTTAAACTGAGACAGAGGAGATTTAAATTAGATATTGGGAAGAAGGTTTTCACTCAGAGGGAGGCCGATGTACCAGTGGAACAAGTTGCCCAAGGAGGCTGTGGATGCCCCATCCCTGGAGGCATTCAAGGCCAGGCTGGACGTGGCTCTGGGCAGCC